CTGAGGCCCTGTTGGACAGGGAAAAGTGTCCAGGAAGGCGAGGTCCTTTCTGTCCCTTGGGAAATTCCCAGGACTGAGGGAGACAGAGCATGCCTCTAGGACGGTCCTGAGACACAAAACTGAAGTGACCCATTGCAGTCATGTGGCAATGCCACTGGATCTGGGGGTCACGGGGCAAGGACAGTTAGCATTTCAGGCAGGAGGGAGACTGAAGTCAGGAGAGAGGTCAGCTTGTCGAATTAGAGAACAAGTCAGGTGAAGAGAGTCAGTGGGCAGAAGGGCTTTGAATGCTATAAAAAGCTTATATTACTTGTACACAGGCGCCTTGTGTGGGTGGAAGAGCCAGGAAGAGATCCCACTGCAAACCTAGCCCAGATGGAGTTGGTGTCTTACAGTCTCAGTCAAGCTGGCCTGCTGGGCCAGTTCCAGGGATCAAGGTTACTAGCTCATTTTGTTTTTGTTTGTTTGTTTTGCTTTATTTATTTATTTATTTATTTATTTATTTATTTATTTATTTATTTATTTATTTATTTATTTATTAGACAGTGTCTCACTAGCTCTGACTGTCTTGGAACTCCTTCGTGCATCAGGCCAGCCTCGAACTCACAGAGGTCCACCTGCCTCTGACTCCCAAGTGCTGGGATCAAAGGTGTGCGCCACCACCGCCCAGCACCTATCTTATCTGCCTCAGGGTTCGCTTAAGGTTCTCCCAGTTCCTTCAAAATGGCCTCACTGCTTCTTGCTCAGCCTCCCAAGCTCATCCGGAGAGACCCAGTCTCTCCACCAAGAACAGCGGTGTGGGGCTTTGGGTTTCTGAGGTTGCTTAGGGTGTGATTCGGTAAGACCTGGGTGAGGATTCCAGGATCCTCTCTGGTGGTGTCTCCAGGTGGCCTCCTCCTCCATCTCCTGTCCCTCAAAGCCTCTTTCTGGGAGGCTGATGCTTCCAGAAGGGACCGCAACATGGTTGTCCTGAGTGTGCCGCACGGTTGCCGTGAGGTCAGAGGAGGTTCCCCCCTCATTACAGTTCTGGGGAGAGATGGGTCGAGGGCATCTTCCCAATAGGCTCGATCCTCTTGCATGATGGTTGTGGTGAACTGGGCCTGTGCGATAGTTTGGGCATAGAGAAGGGAAATATGCCTCCCCAGGAGCCCTGGAGCCCCGCCCTCCTGCCCCCTGCCCAGGTGGAGCCTCTTCTGGGGTTGCAGTGGGTGTGCTCCCCCAGAACCCCCCAGCACCATCCTTAGCGAGGGAAGTGAGAGGAGAGGATGTTCACTGCCCTGTCACCAGCATCTCTGTATCACTCCACAAGAATGAACCCCCGAATAAATCCTGCCACAGTCCGCGAACGGCACAGGATGTGGTCAGGCGACTTTGCACCTGTGAGTTAAAAGTATCAGCTGGTTAAATGGAAATACATAACGATTGTTGTCCATTTGTAAAGAAAGCTTAAAAATAGCAGTGACCAGGTCCTCCTCAAGTACTGATAGTTCCTGGTAGAGTCTCTGCCCCCTCCATTTTTTTTTTTTTTAAATTAAGGATGGAATCCAGGGCAATATACATGCTAGGCGAACTCTTTACCACTGAGCTGCATTTCTAGTCTATTTTAGGAGACTTCTTTAATGACAGGTCCAGTACCAGCGACAAATACAGTCATGTAGGCTGCAAAGTGGAAGCCCTTTATGTTGTAGGTTTTTTGTTTTTTTTTTTTTAAATCAGCTTTTCAAGGTTCTGAATACCTGGCCCAGGGGCAAAAGTAGAGGAATCTAGTTGCGTAATTCCTGTTCCTAGCTGTGTGACAGTAGGGACATGCTTTAATCACTCACCCTCAGTGCTTCCTTCGCTGTAGACTGGAGACAATACATTTCTATTTCATGTGCGCTGCATGAAGTAACCAATGTAATGAATGTCACACACCCTTGGGGACATAGTAAGCACTGCCCCTTTGTAGATCAGGCCAGCCCCGAACTCACAGAGGTCTACTTGCCATTTATAGGAATGGGCAGGGGTCTCCTAAAATGACTGACTGTACAACATCAGCGATGGTATCCTGCAGAGTTGGCTAGTCCTATGCAGCAAAATGGGGCCAGCTACTGTGTTAGCCTGATGGAGACTGAGGTTTCCAGGGTGAACTGATGCTTCTTCCCAGCCAGCGAGACAAACCTGGATGCTTAGCACTTCTCCCTGCCAGGTCCTGGTACCCGCCTCAGAAAAGGAGGGGGCTGCATTGGATCCACAGAATACCACTCAAGAGTGCAGTTGGCTGAGGTCCAGACCCACTCACTCACTAGCTGTGTGATCTTTGTGTCTTAATTTCCCCTTCTGTAAAATGGGGCTAGTAATTATTTTACCTTACATATTTGGTGTGAAGGATTAAATTAGTTAATATGATTTTTAAGACTGTATTTGTATTTATGTATACATGTGTTGTGTGTCTGTATATTTATGTGAAGGAGGGGGTGACCACAGAGGCCAGAAAAGAGCATCGAATTCCTTAGAGCTGGAATTACAGGCAATTGTGATCCACAAGGTGTGGGTGCTGGGATCTGAACTCTTCAAGAACAGCAAGCACTCTTAACCACTGAGCCCATTTCTCCAGTCCCTAGATAATAGGTTTAAAGACTCAAAAACCAGTCTGGCATGCAGCAAGAGTTCTATGCAGGTCAAATACTGTCCTTTTATTGTGTTGGATGCCCTGTGAGGTCCTGTCCTGCTCTGACCTGTGAGGATCTACACTGATCTAATAAACTCTACCTATAGGGCTTCACCCCTCCTACAAACTAGAGCAGGGACCCTGCCCCAGCCTCCCCTTTTTGGGAGTGAAGAGAGTTCCCATTTGCAGCCCTGGGGCCAGCTGGACTTGCTTGGAAAGGCCTTTCTGGTTTCTCCATGGCTGCAAGCAGCTTTGCATGAATGAAAGAGTCCTTGGGGTCTCCAAGGTCCTCATTCCTTTGAGGCCACATGGGATTCATTACACTGAGGTTGGGTGAGAAAGACATAGGCTGATGATGACCCGTGGGCTGGACTGAGACAGGGAAGCATGATGTCCTGAGATGGAGCTGGGAGACTGGGAAGGATAAATGGTTCTAGGGAAGTGGTAGGCCCCAAAGCATCCCCAACAATGACCCAGGGAGGACAAGTATGAGGCACCGGGAAAGATGTTGTCTTCATCAGCCTTTGCAAATCGGACTTCCCAGGTGAAGACCGTGGTGAGTAGAATCTTGTGTATGAACTCAGGCCCAAAAGGGGGTCCCATCCATCTGCACAGGGAACACATGGTTTTCTACTTCTCATGAGAATACAGCCTCTCTCTCTCTCTCTCTCTCTCTCTCTCTCTCTCTCTCTCTCTCTCTGTGTGTGTGTGTGTGTGAGAGAGAGGGGGGGGTCATTGGGGTATGTTCTTCCAGCCCTTTATTGAGAACTTTTTTTTTTTTTGGAGACAGGGTTTCTCTGTGTAGTTTTGGTGCCTGTCCTGGATCTTGCTCTGTAGACCAGGCTGGCCTCGAACTCACAAAGATACGCCTGGCTCTGCCTCTCAAGTGCTGGGATTAAAGGCGTGTGCCACCACTGCCTATTGAGAACTTTACTTTTAAAACCCATCTCCTTGGACCCATAAGAGGAGGATATGGAGCATCCTTGGTTGGCTCATTCAGCTGAACAAAGACATTTTACACTACAGCATAGAACAATGGTAACCTATGAATCAATTCAAACTCTCCAAATTATATGAAATCACCTGCTTTTCAAGTCTGGGGGACTTACCCAGAAAATCACAGGACTATTGGATGTTGACACTGGCATGTCAGAGACCTATCATCAATTCTATGCTGTGTGGAGATTAGAGGACCCCAGAGGGGAACCTTCATGGTGCCTGGGCCTCTTGTTGCTTGCCATATAATGAGTTTCTCTCTCGTGGAGACAGGAGAGCTTTGTTGTGGAGGAAGAGTAGAGAGCACATACAGCTCCTCTACCTTATTCTCTAGTCGATGAAGGCAAAGACTTGGGTTTTACACCAAAAAAGAGAAGTCCAGCAAGTGATGGCCATCAGCAAAGGTAGTGGGGAAATGTTGTTGTTGGCTGTTTTTGTCTTTGCTCTTTGGGGGTCCGCCTTCCAGCTCCCAAATAAATCACATGGAGGCTTATTCTTACTTATAAATGCTCGGTTTTAGCTTGGCTTGTTTCTAGCCAGCCTTCCTTAACTTTAAATTATCCCATCTACCTTTTGCCTCTGGAATTTTTCCTTTTCTTACTTCTGTATATCTTACTTTCACTCTTACTCTGTGACTGGCTGTGTGGTTGTGTGGCTGTGTGGCTGTGTGGTTGTGTGGCTGTGTGCCTAGCCCCTAGCATCCTCCTCTCCTTGTTCTCTCGCTCTTCCTTCTTTCTTCATTTTCTCTCAGATTTCCCCTTCTATTTATTTTCTCTGCCTGCCAGCCTCACTTATTTCTCTCTACTGCCTTGCTATTGGCCATTCAGCTCTTTATTAGACCATCAGATATTTTAGACAGACACAGTAACACAGCTTCACAGAGTTAAACAAATGCAACATAAAAGAATGCAACACGTTTTTGCATCATTAAAAGAAATGTTCCACAGCACAAACAAATGTAACACACCTTAAAATAATATTCTACAACAAAACATCACCACTGACATCTGTGTATAGAAAAGCCACTGAGAAAGAAAAGGTCATAACACTAGATCTTTTGGCTTGAGTGCTAACTGGGAGATTCCTGGGAGGGACTGGGTACTACATCCTTTCCTTCCTGGCTGCCAGCAACAGGGAAAAGTATCCATATCTTTCAGAGGGCATCCTGCATGGTTGGAGGTTCTCACTTTCACATGGCTTACTAAATGTTACTGAGTATCATATTTGAGAATAGGCTATGAGGTCAGGGAAATGACTTGACTCATGTTGTTTCTTGGAGACTCAAACTTCCCTTCTTACTGCGATGAGAAGGATCTAAGCATGACATAGTGCATAGAACAGAAACACCATTAGCATGGCCCCTCTTAAAACATGGGAGGTACAGGTTAGTCTGTAGTGAAAACCAACTCATGGCCATTTCTAGAACCCAGAGAAGAGGGCATTATCTCCCTGAGGACCAGCAGCTAAGGACCATGTTCATAGCCCCTTTCTTCTACCATAAGCTGGAATGCTTGGAGGCTCTGGGACTGCATTCTGGGAGCTGGACTCTGTATCTACCTTCTATCTTCTTCCAATTCCTTCTCCATCAGCCAGGGTAAGCATTTTTACAACTCAAGTTGGATTCTGTCTTCACTCAACAGCCTTCTCCAGATAAGTCAGAATCCTACAGTGGCTTCTAGACCCTACGTGTCCAAACTCAGCTGGGGCTGCCCTTCCCTAGCCTTCCACCCTCGGGTGTACTTGATTTGCTCTTGAAACTTGTTCACAGTTCATAATTGGCTGGTCAACATCTTTCTGTCCTATTAGACTTCATGAGGGGAAGACTCGATGTTTGCTTAAACTTGTATACCCAGGGCCTAACAGTACCTGAGTCTGGGACTTAGCCTTTGGGATCCGCACTTTAGTCTCTTTGGGTCTTGTGACTCACTCTCAAAGTTTGTTGACTGTTTGGTACCACTATGGGATACAATTATCAAAAGGACAGTGGCTTTATGTATCAGTGTGACTTACTGTGTCAAGGGTCCCATGGGATGAGCTTAACTGACAGTTTGAGGCTGAGCTTGATGAAAACGCCCCCACTCAAAGGGATCAGATAAATGAGGCATCCTGGAGCAAATGTACCCTCAGCTGACCCAATAAAGAGCTTAAGACTCTGCAAAACATGAGCAGGACCAGTAGATGCCACAGGACCCTTCCATCTCTGGCCTCCTCCCAAATTGGTCCCTTAGCCCTGGGGGCCTTGCCCCGCCAAGCCTGAGCCAGAGGAGGAGGAGATGGGGTGAGTGGGAGGGGCAGAGAGAGCAAGCAAGGCGCGGCTATGACCTACATCTGTTCCTGCTCTGCCTGTCCACCGCCAGATGGCTCAGACTCCCTGGTAGCCAGCAGCAGCTGGAAGCAGGGAGGAAGGAGTGTGAGGAGGCTGGAGGTTGGTGGGCCATTCAGGTGAGTGAGCACACTGTGTACCTGGTTGTCCACCTGGTCTGGGAAGGGTAGGGAGACGCTATGCTGTGCTCTAGATTTTCTGTGCAGGAAAGAGAAGACCGTGGTCATCAGACAAGCCCCATGGATATCCGGCTGGCTGACCACAGACTGGGGTGCATTTCTAGCACCTTTTAGGGGACCCCGGTATCCCTGGAGGAGGGAATTTCAGCAGGTTCTGTGTGAGTGGTTCTGCCCTGGCTCTGATTTTCCAGGCACTGCCTGATGGAGAATATACATGACAACTGAGTTAAAAAATGTTACTAGCAGTTCAGAGTAGTGACCTCAAGACCAAAGCAGTTGAGAAGAACCCTATTTGGTTCCTCCTTTCTGTTGAGAAGTTGGAGGAAGCAGGGACCTAGGCTGGTAGAATGGAACAGGTTCTAGGGCAGCAGGTGAGGATGCTATGTCCTGGGAAGAGTTAAGGGAGACACAGCCTGGTCCCGAACTCAGCGTCTGGTTGGGATAGGCTGAAATGGGTGCATTTGTGCATAAGAGTAAGGAGTCTCCCCAAATGTGGGAATAAATCATGAAGGAAAGAATCCCCTTCCCCATCCCCACTAAAGAAGCCTACATCCTTCTGTTCTCTAGGCAAATGCACCTCTCACTCATTAGTCATTGAGTTTGTACTTGTTCTAGATTATTCCTGAAGTAGCATGATACTGGACCCTTGACCACCACAGGCTCCTACTTCTTTGCTTCTTTAACTGGACCCACAGGAGACAGAGGTAAGGGGCTGATATCTGGATTAGTGCTGACATGTGACAAATAGTCACACAATCTACTAGAGCTAATAGCGGCGGTGATAATGGAGGTGACCTCCAGTGTGCCTGGGTGCCAGTGCTTCCCCTTATCAGATCCTGACCTGAGGGAGGGAGGAGTGGAACTCTTAGGGGGCCTCCTCGGCTGAGCCTGCTCCTCCAAGTTGTCCTCTCTCCTGTCCACCTTGTGACTCCTTTCAGTGCGGTGGCTATGGCTCCTGTGTTGCTTGTGACCGCTACAGAACGCCACCGTTGGCACGCTGTGGCATTCCTGCACACAGGGGGGCCGTGGCTGGGCTGTAGAGGGGGCCAGAAGTGCCAGTGAGCGGGGCAGTTGTGCAAGAAAGCATATTAGTTGGAGTATGGAATTTGCTCCGTCATGTGGGACTCTACATTGATGGCCGGGTTCTTTGGGCAGGAAGCGCTGTCCCCCAAACAGAACCACTTGGCCGTACATCAGCCTCTCAGAGGTAGGATTGCTGGAGGACCCTTGCAAGTCTCCCTTTAACTCATTCATAGCTCTCATCCTTTCCCAGAGCCAACCCTACTCCTCCTCCTCTATGGGCACTAACATGGGTGCAGTGAAAAGAAGTTGAGGGGAGAGGGTGGTGGAGTTCTCGGAAGAAGGGGACACACTCCTGGTCATCTGACGTTGTAGTTCAGAGGGAAGTGGGTGGATTTCTGGCGGTCTTATTGGCTCGGGGAGAGAAGAGCTCCAGAGTCATCCCCACAGACCTTGAGATCTGAAGGATTCCACTTGGGTTAAGATAGGAGGTAGAAGGCACCCGGGCTCCAGTAGAAAATCCAAGAGATTGCTAGGGAATTTGCATTCCAAAGTTGAGAGGTCACAGCCGTTGAACAAGTCTCCTGCATGAGTCTGGTCTTGCTCTCTGAATGGTAAAGAGCTTGGGTCCTGCCAGGAGGTTAGGTCATACAGTCCCGACACCATGCTTTTCTTTTCTCCGGATCTGGGTAGCACCTACTTCTTTCCTGGAAATTTCCCTGGGAAATTGGTCTAGTGGAGCTGTTCTGGGGAATGGCAGGAAACAAATCATTTTCATTTGGGGGGGTTAGACAAGCTCTTAGGGGCATCATTTGCCCCCAACATCCATCTTAGATTTGGCTGGGACCCCCTGGTGGTATGGGAGAGGTGGGCTGACATGTTAACTCGGGCCTCACATGAGGAATTCATCTGCCGCCCTCAGATCAGTTTCCACCCTCAGAGGAGCAAGAAGAAGCTGGAACTATGGCAGGTAAGAGAGTTAGCTGCCCCTGCACCCCTCCCCGCTGCTGCTACTCACGTGGGTAGAAGGCAGGGAGGGGGTCGAACCCAGAGTTCTTGGGGAATGCACCATCTCTGCTCTTCCAGTGTGGGCTTTGAGGCTTGCTGTGCTTTATTGAGTCTCTACGTGAACTGAACTTCTGCTTCCTGAAGAGTGGCCCTTTCCTACCCTCTTTACCTGGTTTTTCTTTAGTGACACATCCGGAGTCATCCCATGGCACACAACCAGAGAGGAATCACCAGATTCCCACTAGAAAGCTTACAGGCATCCTTTAGAGAGAAAGAGCAGGTGTGCAGGACAAGCCTGCCTTGATGGCTAGAGAAATGAGGGGCCCGGTTCCCTGATGGAATGGAAGGAAGATCAAGATGTACTCCTCCTATCCTCCAGGAAAAACCCCTAAGAAGTCCTCCATCCCCGGAGTGAGCATCCGGCAGCTGGTGGACGAGATCCCCGAAGGCTGCAGTACACCAGATTTCAAGCAGAAGCCTGTCACCTTGGCTCTACCAGAGGGTGAGACCCTAGTGGATACTGCTGAGGGAGTCATGGCCCCTGCTCTCCCATTCCCCAGAAAGTACAAGGGAGATGGCTTGGCCACCTAACCTTTCTATCCCTCCTATGTCCATTACCTGTTTCCATCCTTCCTATATTCAAGTGGCGTCTATCTGCCTGGATCCCTAGGAGGGACAGGAGCTGAGGAGACTGTGGGGAAAGGGAGAGAAGAGAGTTCACACTATGCAAGGGAACATGGACTGGCAGATACTAAACAGGGAAGCAGGTCCCCAGGTTCTTTCCTCTGCTTTCCCTGCCTCAAGGTCTTCTATAGGAAGAAGCTATTTAAATATCTCTTCTCCCAGGGTGGAGAGGATGGTCGCCAGTAAAATGCCTGCTATGCAAGCGTGGGGACCTAAGTTTGGATTCCTTGTACCCACATAAAAAGCTGGACACTGAACTGGGCAGTGGTGGTGCACGCCTTTAATCCTAGTACGTGGGAGGCAGAGGCCAGGCTAGTCTACAAAGTGACTTCCAGGACAGTCAGGGCTGTTACACAGAGAAAACTTGTCTGGATAAAAAAAGAAAGAAGAAAAAGCTGGACACAGGGGTGCACACCAGTGTGCCTGTAGTCCCCACACTGGGGAGAAAGAATTGGCAGGATTCCAAGGACTTGCTAGGCAGCCAGTCTGGCCAATTGATGAGTTTCAAAAATTAGGTAGGAGGGCTGAAGAGATGGCTCAGCAGTTGAGACTGCTGGCTGCTCTTCTAGAGGACCGAGGTTTGATTCTCAGTACTCACATATCTGTAACTCCAGTTCCAGGGGATCCAGCACCTTCTTCTGGCCTCTGAGGGCATCACGCAAAAGTGTTGCACAGACATGCATGAAGGCAAAACACCTATGCCCATAAAAGTGAAGGAAAAACATAAAAAAAAAAAAAGTGGAGTGTGAACAAAGAAAATACCTGACCTCTGGTCTCTAGACACACACACACATATGTATATGCACATGTGTGCTTGCACACACACACACACACACACACACACACACACACACACACACACACACACACACACCCCTTTTCTTCCAATCTTGCCCTAAAGAGCCAGATGTTTAGTGCCTCACAGGCTAGCCCAGAAGTGCCGTTTTTAAAACCACACACAGGAGCGCCCAGGGAAGTGGTGTTCCTCCCCTGGAAATGATCCCTGCCGTAAATTTTAGTTAACATTCTGGTATAAGAAAAACAATGGTATGATATTTTACTTTTCTAAATATGAAACAAGGTCATGAACACAAGGGAGGGCCCTGGGACCTTCAGATTCTTCTGCTGAGATGTCCCTGGCGGGAGGCAGCTGAGCTCTGTGAGGGTCAAGTAGCTCCCACGCCATCTTGCCCTGCATGGAACTTCGGGTCTTCTCTGAGGCTGGAGTCCTATGTCTCAGGACCAGCTCCTTTGAGTACCAGCAGCCATTGCTTTCCAAGATCTCCCTAGACGGGAGGAACCGAACTCACAAATTCTCACACACTTCCTTGCTTTGGGAGAGACCTTAGCCTCCTAATGCACCCACTCTCAGAGAAATCTGCCTCCCACTCCTACCCTGCTTACCTTCGTGACCATGGACGGCACACCACATCTTTCTCCTGGGGACACCAGGCCCTGCATGGTTGACCTCAGGCCAGCACTGCTTCTGGGCACCTGGAAACTTTCCACCTGACATGATGAGTCCCAAGTCAAGGGGCTCAAAGCCGGGTACTTCTTTTGGGAACCACAGGGAGGATGATGTAAGTTTAAGTCTAAATAACATCTATTGCCACTCTACCCCCAAGCTGCTTCTTCCTGCCACAGGAAAGAATGCCATCTTTCGGGCGGTGGTCTGTGGGGAGCCCAGACCCGAAGTGCACTGGCAGAACACCAAAGGAGACCTCAGCAGCTCCAGCAAGTACCAGATCTCCTCTGCTCCTGGCAGCAAGGAGCATGTGCTGCAGGTGAGTGCTGCAGCCATTCCTACCCTGGGCTCATGGGTCTCTTCTGAGTTCCTTAAATTCTTAAGGTCGTCCAGTCCCCAGAGGAGGAAGAGATAGTTCCACAGTTGGGTCTGTTCAGCTTCAATCCGTGGTTCAAGGTCTCCTGAGCCAGGGGATGCCCTGGCAGGTTTGCTGAAACCTCTGCGAACACACCTGGACCACTGCTGGGTCACAGTCCCAGGCCCATCACCTTGCCTTTGGAAAGCTACTTGCTTGTCTCTTTCCGCCTCTGTTTCTTCACCTATGGAACAGCATAATTACAGTACATGCTCTATGGAGTATTAAAAACTAAATGTTTGTATGAAGTGTCTAGCCAGTGTCCCACCTTAAACTGAGCACAGACAGCCCTTGACTTATCATAGTTCCACTTGCAAGTTTTGATAATTGGGGGAAAGCAATATGCAGAAACCACACACTGAGTTTTTCATTTTTCAGTCTCATCTTTTCATGGGTGAGAAATATATAGGTGTGAGGCACTCGCCCTGAGCAATGGCAGCAGTCTGTAGCCTCCGTCAGTCAGAGGATAACTGTATTCTGTAGCATACTGTGTTCACCGAATTACACGAGGCATTGAACCCCTTTTATAAAATGGGCCTAATCATCTCGCCCAACAACAGGCTCATGGAAATGCTGTCTCACATTAAGGCAGGCAAGGCTAGGGAAAAATTTGGTAGGTTAGTAGTACTAAATGCATTTTAAATTGATAATATTTTCAGCTTACAGGAGGTGTACTAGGATGTATTGTCATGTCACCAGACAAACAGTACCTGCCCTCTTAATTATGTTAATATTAGTAATCTTGTAGACACTAACCATGGGTTAATATTAGTAATGTTGTAGACACTAACTGTGGAACACTCACAAGTGTTGGGCCCCGGACCAAACATTTATCACAGAGGACATGAGTTAATCCTGACCATTCACTGCTTTCTGAGATATTATTATCCCCATCTCATAAGCCAAGAAATTAAAATTTATAGAGGTCGGGGAACTTGCCCAAGGTCCCATAGCTAGTAATACATGGCAGAGATGGTCTCCAGGGCCAGGTTCATTTGACCCCACCCTGCTAGAGTAAGCTCTTTGTGAGACCCATATTGCCTCCAATGGCAAGAACATCCATCCTCTGCTCCGATCCAGAATTTGTTCTGATGTCTGCATTTGCTGATAAAGACTGTGAGCTTCATGGGGACAGAGCCCATGTCTGTGCATCGTCATACTTCCAACCCACAACTGTGTGTAGTGCATGGAGGAAGGGAGTGTTAGCCCTGCTCCCCTGCCCTTGGCCTCTCCACAGATCAACAAGCTGACTGGAGAGGACTCGGATCTGTACCGCTGCACTGCAGTGAACGCCTTCGGAGAAGCCACGTGCTCCGTGAGGCTCACCGTCATCGAAGGTGGGCTTGTCCTGTGAGCTCATCAGTGCACAGGGCATTTCTCTAGAGAGCACCCTCAGAGGACCCACAGGGCGGCAGGAGGGGAGAGAGGACCCAGAGGCTGTGCTTCCGTCTCCTGTAGGGGCCCTGGCTCCACCCAGTGGCGCCCAGTTTGCCTGTGCCCAGTAAGGCACACTTCAGCCATACCCTGTGGTAGTTGCTCTGAATGGGCCCAGGCTCCAGTGCTAGTTTCTAGTCTTCTGCTAAGTCGTTTTTTTTTTTTTTTCCCTCCTGGGTCTCAGTTTTCCCACTCTACAACAGATATTTTGTACAGGTTTACATTAGACATTTTTTTTTTGTTTGCACGATGTTTGAAGATCCTTACATTTTTAGTCTGTAATGATTGGAAGGTTGGTACCTCTTGAGGACGCAAACCTAGTCTCTCAAGTAAGCTGACACATTCATCTCGTCTCTAAGTACCAGAAAATCCTAAGAGAAGTCCAAGAAATAAAGATACCGAATTACTTCACATAGAAGGAAATTCTGAGATTCAAGTCCAGGGCTTGTTCTACAGCTCTGGCTGTCACAGGAGAGCAAGCTCTTCTGGTCTCAGCAGGCTGACTGGTCACTGCAGAGCCAAACTTAATCCACACTCGAGTGAGAGGAGAGGGAAAAGGGAGGCCCGGGGACACCTGCCTCTCTCATCAAAGAAGCAAAAGCTCAAAACTCCAAAAACCTGGGAGCTTTTGTGTGCATGTCATTGGCTAGCACAACGTCACGTGATAGCTGTTATCTGCAAGAGGGAGGAAGTATGAGTTTCTCCAGACTCTCCATTGGAAGCACATGACAAAGAAGAGAATTATGAATGACTGAGGGGATAATCAAAAAGCAGAATCTGATGTATTTGGCAGTTCGGGCCCCATCACCTGAACTGGCAACTGTCAGATGCTCTTTGGGTGCCCTTGAGTTTGCCGTGGTTGTCGGTGGCCACTTCCCTTATCCCTGTCACTTCCCTGTAGACATGTGAGTGAGTCTCCCCATCATGCAATGATGCTCATGGTAAAGCTTTGAGGTATCAAAGCTCATGGAAGACTCCCCACCTCATCTTCCCCTTTTGCTTGGATGTTGTGTCTTAAAGGACAGAACAGGTGGGAGGCCAGGGCTCTGGGTTTGGTCCAGTTCCCAGGAGGACCATCCAAGTGTCTTGCTTCTTTCCCTGTCTGTGCGCACCACCTCTCTCCTCTCCTCCTTGGATGGTCCAGTGGGTTTTCGGAAGAACCGAAAAAGGCAAAAGGAACCTCAGGAGGGTATGTAGATTGGTCAGAACCCCCCTCTGGGGCCTTTGCATGTTGCTCCCCATCTAGTATAACCATGCACACCTTATGGGCACCAGCAATGTATGGAAAAATAAAAACTCGCATCAGCAGCCCTGGACCATATAGCCTTGCTTCAGACCCTACCGGGGATTCAAGACTTACTCCTTATTTTCTAGACCTCAGGACAGAGCTGAAGGACTTTCGGAAGATGCTGAAAAAGAGGTGGGTCTGGCACTGTCTGGAGGATTTTGGAAGCTCACATGGTGCTCATCCCGGATGAACTGGGCATCCATATTCGGCCACTTCAAAGCTTTGTACCCTGAGTTAGTCTTCTTTCCCCCAGTCCTGTTTGCAAAATGGGAGGGCCCGCTTGCCCAGTGATTTAAAAATATGCGTTAAAGCAACACAGCACTTCAGTCCTAATGTTACTGCCACCCAAAGACATCCTACTCAGAAATCAATATCTCCAGTTCTTAGGAGCCCCGAGTCTCCTCCAAGCCGAAGCCACAGGGTAAGGCTTGCCTCATCCAATACCTAGGTCCTTCCACTTGAGATCATGGTCCACCCCCAAGATCTCAGCCTCTGTGCCTGCTCCTCCAGTAAGCACAGGACAGCTTCCCTAGATCACCAGGGTCAGCTGGTCCATACACGGGACTCCTCTGGCCTCTGACCAACCAGCCTTGATCCCCAGGACCCCACCTCCAGCCCCTGATAAAAAGATGGAGTCTGCACAGGTGTGGCAGCTGCTCATGACCGCGGACCGTAAGGACTATGAGAAGATTTGTATGCAGCATGGCATCGTCGACTTCCGGGGCATGCTGCGCAAACTGCAGGAGATGAAGAAGGAACAGGAGGACAGAATGGCACAGGTATTCTGGCCCTGCTCCCACCCCCTAGTTGGAGCACAAGTCCTGGAGGGGCCCCACACACCTACCCAGAGCTGGCTTTGGAAAACCCAATATGGTGGACAGTCTACCTCCATCTAGCCCCGCTGAGAGGTTCTGCTAAGGATCCAGCCTTCTGAGCTTGCTCTGGGTTTTAATACCTGGGCCTGATACTTACTGAACTCCGGACTTTAGAAAATTAGGGCTCCAGTGTCTTGATGCCCTCATATGTATAACAGGCTAATAGCAAAATCTACCTCGTAGGGTTGAGAGGATAAATAAGAGGATGTGCTTACAGCAATTAGCCTGGTGCCTAACACATAGTGACGTCTAGTGACTGTCCCCTGTCATTACTGTCATCATCATTATTGTCAGACTTGGGGCCTGATTTCTTGGGGATTCTAATACTCTGCTTCCAGCATCTTAAAAACTACACGGGAAGTTCCTTCTTGTGTCTAACTTGACATAAGTCTGCGTTTTCCTTCTGGGATTGGAAAACAACCTAGTTTCATTATTCTTCAAGTGGCATTTTGAAGGTGGCGTCTCCAGCCTCCCAGCTAGGGCTTTTCTTTCAATCATTCTTACCCATATCAGCATGTGGCCTAGCTCACGGCTTTGCCTAGCTATATTCACCTAATGTTTATCAGCGGGTGGGACAGATGAATGGACACCCAGATAGATCCCTCTCGTTTTTGTCCTTCATCACCTGACTTTTTTATCTTTGAATTATCTTTCTTGAGGGTTTAAGTATCCTCACTTGAGAACCCCATAAACCCCTGCTCTTCAGGTACATTGTGGGCCAGGGCTGAGACCAGATCCTGCAAAGATTTGGAGTGCCCCGGAGAAACTGTTTTGGGGTCCCTCTCATGGGTTTGTCTGCCCTCTAGTATGTCAACGCCATTGACAACTTGAGACACATCAGGGTCACCAAGGAAGGGGTTGCCACGTTTGACCTGGAGCTGGATCTCAAGGACCTTGAGAGCAAGATTTACCTGTACAAGGTGAGGCCAGAGGACCTGATGGGGGCTGTGGGTCCTGGGAGGAAAATGATGGACCCCATGGAACTATCTAGAACACCTAGGTGCTAAGCACTCACCCATGGGGTTCCCAGTTGGAGTTAGGTCACACCTTGTGGTGGGAAGTCTCCAGACACCTCTCACCTCTCCTTGAGCTGGATCTGTTACTCTACATAGCGTCTGATGCAGAGCAGGGTCAGAACAGAGTTCTGAGTGCATGCCCACCATGTGAGGCCAGGACAGGTATGTGGGATTGGGGCCGGCAAAGCATACACTTCTTCTGCAGCCAAATTCACCCTGGCTCCATCACCTCAGACCAGACATCTTTCCTGAGCCTCAGTCTCCTCATCTACGAAGTGAAGGATGAGAAGAGCTACCTCATGGAATACTGCAATGCCTAAATGACACTGCATGCTTGTCTGTCCCGTGACCTGGCTCCCCCCACCTGTCTCTCCTCCTCCCTGCTGCTCTGTTCCTGCTCCTTGGCCTTGTCTCTGCTCCTTCTCTGTCGCCACCCAGCTGTGCCTAGCGCGCTCACCTCTGACATCCATGTGGTTAGTCCCCTCATCCCCTGAGTGCTTCTGCTGTGCTCCCAGGTCCTCCCTGGTGCTTCTGAAGGTGCCCCTCCCCCACTTAGCCTGCTTCGTCTCTTAATTCTGTTTTTCCAGATACAAATCACTTATTTATGGTGCTGACTACTTGTCTTCCTCTCCCATCGGTGGGACTCTTTGTTCTATTTATTGTAATGTCTCAAGTACCTAAAATAGTGCCTGGCACACAGCGTTAGAAAGAGTTAGCTACTGTTAATTCTCAGCGAGTAGGAAATCTCTGTATGGCTTAGCAAGGATGAGCATACGTATAAACTGACTATGTTTTGTGCAGCCCGGAGGACATTCTCCAAACATTCCCCTTGGTGGATGAAAGAGCTGGTCCCAGGTCATAGGCTCACCTCTCCTGCTAACACACGGGGCTGTAGAGCAACTCTCTTCCCAGCAATCTGCATTAGCCATCTTAGATGTCTTGCATAAGCTGCATAGATTTATTTGCATTCATAGAAAGAGGTCTGGACATTCTTAGAACATACATGTCTACCCACCTCATGACCCATGCACCCACATTCAGGCTCTGCTCTCTGCCCTGATCCCACAACCCCGACATGGTTCTAAGACTGTGTTGTCTTTGACCCCTGGGCCAGTAGAGAAAACTGTTGGTGGTAGCCAGAGTGAGGCTAGGTTACGAGGCTCTTTGGACCCACGGATGCCCTGAACCATCCTTTTCTGGCTTCAGGATGGTGAGATGATCCCCTATGGCTTTGATAACCAGACCAAGCACTGTCTGAGACGGCTGGGGAAACGCTACCACTTCCTGATCCAGGACCTGCGGCCCGAGGATGCCGGCCTTTACCAGGTCATGGTGGAGGATGCTGTGGTCTTCTCCACAGAGCTGGAGGCCAGCAGTGAGTGTTATTTGCCACAGAAATTTGCATAGAGGAGAGGAGAAGGGGATACACGTGACATGGCTGCATTGCTAGGACAACTAGAAAGAGAGATACACCCAGATATGCCTGCTTTGGTACCCGGCAGGGCTCGACAGAATGCGTCAAGGATATAGGCATACACAACATTCTCCTGCCCATAGACATTCTGTCGCAGCTGAATATTTTCAAATCAGACCCAGACCATGGCCTTTTGTGATAACTTCCCCCCTTATGATAAATGTCCTCCTCTTCCACAACTCCCGAGCAAGGATTTCCACCTGGGCTCGCCAGGCCGGTGCAGCTCAGGCCTTTTCCATTCCTGCTTCTTGTGTTCCTTCCCCCACCTAAGAGTGTCCCTCCTTGAACTCCACCCTGTGCCCAGGAGGACCTGTGTTTCCATCACTTATAGACACCCTGACCAGGAGGAGCCTCTCCGAAAGACAAGGGGAGGCCTGAGGAGGAATCTTTGGGCAGGACATAAAGAACAGGGCTGAACCCAGGCTGAAGAACAAGAGAAGGGCATCCAGCAGGTCTGGGTGTTAGGATGGGCTTTGAAAGCCCAGTGACAATGCGCCATGGGTAGAAGAGCATGGGCTTGGGAGCGGTCACCTCTTAGCTGTCCGATGGGACAAGTCATTTTTTTTTTTTTTATTTTGAGGGCCTAGCTCATTCTAGGCAAATGCCAGTCCCTCAGCTCTTCATTCTATTTTGAGACAGGATCTCTCTCAAGCTGTCCAGGCTAGTCACACACCCACTACGCTACAGGCTGGCCTTGAACTGGTAGTCCTTCTGCCTCAGCCTCCCCAGTAGCTGGGATTATCAGTGAATAACACTCTATCAGAGACTAACCTAGGTTGATAAATGTCTTAAACCTCAGTCCCCTCATTCATAAAAAGGGAATTTAAGATCACTCAGTGATAATCATAAGATCACAACCCCACATTTTATGTGTGTATGGGGGCGGGGGGTACTGATGCCTTCAGCAAGGACCGGGGTAGCCCAGCCAAGGTGACAGGAAGACTGTGGCAAACTGGGGTGAACTAGGTTTCTTAATTCCTAGCGCTGGTGCTCAGACCTCTCTGTGCCATGCCGCAAAGCTGATGTCTCCCTTTCCTGTTTCCACGGCAGCCATCCCCCCCAGAGTGGTGGTCCCGTTGGCAGAGACCCGCTGTAAGGAACAGGGGGACGCAGTCTTTGAATGCACACTCTCCAATCCTTGTCCCAATGCTACCTGGCATTTCCAGCACCGAACACTGAGGCTTGGTGACAGATACGAAGTTTCTGTGTCCCCTGATGGGCTGACCCACCGGCTGGTTGTGAAGGGGGCCAGTTGCTCAGATATGGGCCTCTACTCCCTGAACGCTGGACTCCATGCCTCCAGTGCCTGGCTCGTGGTTGAAGGTGGGTGGCCGTACTTCTGAATCCCCCTGCCTTTCCCAAGACAAGGTCTCAGAGTGCAGACAGGGAGCCTCCTCTGCCTCATCATTTGCTTCTGTATGCTTCTCTCACTAGAGAGAATGAGGATGGCTCCTCAGATTCATTCTTGAGCTAGTGCAATGTGGCCTCTTCGCGGCCAGCCAAGCCCAGCTCTGTGTGTGCCGTTAGGCCTCTTAGGGTTACTCAGGGGCCTCAGGTCCAGGAGGACCCCCCAAGACTTGGGGTAGGGCTTGTGACAGTGATCCAGTTTTGATGTGAATGAGAAACCCCTGGGCTGGACCCGGAAATACCCTAATCCTCCCAAGCATTGGCATCTGGGAGCAACACGATCCAGGAAACTGTGAACTGTTCATGGGTGAGGCAGACACAGCAGGGCAAGTGGGTCTCCTAAAGCCCACAACAGCTTGATAAGTTCATAACTTTGACATGTGAGCTTATGTGTCAAAACCACACGACCCACGTGGCAGGAGAGGGTGGCCTGTAGATACGGGTCTGGGGGAGGAGGTGATGGGACGTTACCTACCAATGTGCCGGGGTGTCCTTGTTTTTCCCTCCGCTGGGGAGGGGGAGGGCTGGGCAAGGGAGCCATGTTAGACGGCTGACTTGCTCTCCTTTAACAAGGTCTTTTCTCTTGTCTCTCTATGGGCTAATGACCTCTGTGTAATTAACACCTTACCGAAGGCGGGAAGGATAAAGGCCCTCAGACCACAGATACTGAGCACCGACTGCAAACTCCAGAAGCTCTGGCCTCAGAAGCAGAAGACTCTTGGGGCATCAGCGGCAAGGGAGGGCGATCCAGAGAGCAGGGCTCCCTCAAGGAGACCAGAGGGGCGTGGCTCACGGCAGGCGCAGACAGGGGTGCCTTTGACGAGCATGGCTATTCCATGGTGGGGGGTGAAGGATCAGCTAATTCAGCCTGGGGCCCCGGGCAGAACAAAAAGGGCTTTCTGGGAGGAGAGCAAGGCAGGGTCACGCTTCCGGGAGACAGTCAGGCCCACAGAGAGGGAGACGACTGTGGTGGGAGCCTTCCTGGGAGGCCTCATCTCCAGGGAGGGGACACAGAATCAGATTTGGGCTTTGTGGAAAGACAAGGTCATAGCAGAGCGGGGGCAGCAGGAGGCTGGAAGGCTGGCTCCAGCCACCGTCAGGATGCAAGACTTGAGAGCAACAGAGAAGGAAAGGAACCCAGAGAGGGCCGCGGCAGTGAACTGGACAGACGTGGCCCGGGACAACTCCGCGACCCTCACTTGGGAGCTGGGGCAGGGCAGAGGGCGCCGTGGGGACCCCAGTCTGATGCCGAGGGGTTTCAACTGAAAAAGGAAGGGACAGAAACGTGGGGTGATCTTACGGATGAGATGGAAGGAAGGGGTGACCTGAGCAGAGAGAGGGGAGCAGGGGCAGGGTGGGCTCATAGGGGGGCCTGCCTGGGGGAAGCCAGAGGCTGCAATGGGGCAGGAAGTCCTTGCATCCCCGAGTTTCCTAGAGGAAGAGGTCGCAGCCTCGAGGTGGGCATGGACCCTGACAGGTGCTGGGGCACTCAGGAAGGTGGAGATGCTGGCCATGGAGAAGCTGGGGTGTACTGGGAGGCAGGGGGATATCCAGGACAGACATCAACTAGCAACGACACCCAGGAACCATCGCTATCTGGAGGCAGGAAACTTCTGGGGTGCAGGAGTCCTGAGGCCAAGGCTGAGCACTCTTTGCAAGGGGCAGGTAGTAGCCATGGTATTGTGGGGAGGGGCTACAAAACTGTCCCTGAAGGCCTGGAAGATCCCAGGGCCTGGAAAGGTGGCCTAGAAGAACTCCAGGGAAGGGATGGCCAAGGCCAGGCTGGAGCCTTGGGCAGGTCGGAGGAAGGCTCTCGAAGTCTCCGATTTCCTCAGAGCCGGACAACAGGGCAAAGGGAAGCAGGGGATCCAGGCAGAACAGAGTGCGAAAACATGGGTCCTCAGGATGACATGGGGGCCAATCTCAGAAACACTGGGGCCCACTTTGGGCCTGGAGTGCCTGGGTCCGGTGGGAAGGGGGGGAGAATGGATGGTTCCCAAGTAGCTGGACTGATGGCGTCTAGTCAGAGGGTAGATGCCAGAAACCACAGGCTAGTTCCCTCCCCAGGCCTGGGTGTGCAGGGCTCTGGGGGTGCACTGGGGGACATGGCAGGATTAAGAGACCCAGGGTCGGTAGGATCTGAACCAGACTTCAGGAATGGGTCAGGGAGGTCTAGAGAAAAAGGGTCCAGAGGAGGAATGGACTACGAGGGTGGCTTAGGAGGTCCAGGGTGGGTGGAGTCTAGGTATGAGGAGGGTTCCAGGTGCTCTGAAGGGGCGGGTTCTAGGAATAGAGTTACTAATCATGACGGCTCAGGGGTGCCAGAAGGAACAGGGTCGGGTCTTGGTATTGGTTGCAGAGCCACGTGTGGGGCACCTGTGGAGACAGGTTCTGGGGAATGGGGTACTTACAGGCATGACTCAGAGGTGTCTGGGGGATTGTGGTCTGGAAACAAAGGTCAGTGTGATTCTCCAGGAAAGGTGTCTGGGAGAGACGCCGGCCTCAGAAATGGCTCAGGTGACCTTCAAGGGATGCCCATTCATGAAGCTCAGCGCTGGGATGTATTTCAAGGCCAGGGTCAAACAGGCCCTGGTGGGAAACACTACTCTGATGGTGACTTAGGGAGTCCTGAGATGGTGGGATCTGTGGGTGGAGATGGCATGAAGGCCTCTGGAGCAGTGGGAAAGGTTGGGGACAGACATATGGAAACAGAACCAGGGAACTCTGGAAGAATACGTTCTCGGGGTCACACTGGAGGTTATGAGGGCTTCAGAGCCCTGGGGGCCTTTAGCGAGGGAGACTTTGAAGATGGCACTGGGGTTCCATTACCCATGGGACCAGGATCTCTGGGGAGAGGGAACAAAGCAGGTGATGGAGAAAGGTTCCTTGGTGCCAGGACCTCTGGAGCTGGAACTGGGAATTTGGACAAAGCCGGGCACCCTGAGGCGCTATCTCCTCATGATGAGGCTGGTTCCAAAGGCCACTGGGCTCACGGATCTGGAAATGCGTTAGGTTACAGGGATGGATCTGGAATTCCAGAGCTTTGGGGAAATGGGGACAGAGCAGCTTATGGAGATGGGTCAAGGGGTCCTGGGTCTGAGAGAACAGAGTCAAGGGGTCCTGGCTCTGAGAGAACAGGGTCAGAGGGTCTTGGGTCCAGCAGAACAGGGCCAGATGGTGACACAGTATATAGAGATGGCTCAGGAGGCCTCAGAGGAATGGGACCAGCGGGTGAGGCAAGTTATGCAAATGCAGCTGGGAGCTCTGGGGCCACGGGATCAGGGTGCAGGGTAGATTCTAGGAATGATATTGGGTGTTCTGAAGTTATGGGATCCGGGAGTGAGGCAGGTTATAAGAATGACATCCAGGGCCATAGGGTGAGGGAATTAGGGAATAAAGGAGGTCACAAGAATGGCTTAGGAGCCCCTGACATTATGTCATTAAGGGATGAGGCCAGTTATCAAGGTGGTTTAGAACATTCTGGAGACATCTTGTCCTGGAATGAGTCAGGTTCCAGGGACGGCTTGGGGGAAACAGGACGGATGGAATCCAAGAATGAGGAGGCTGGTTATAGGGGAAGCTCAGTGGGGCCTGGGGAAATGGGGCCTGAGAGTAAAATGCACTGTGCAGATGGTTCAGGAAGGCAAGGAGGACCAGGGCCACCGGCTGCACCCGGAGAACATGAATCCATGGGTCTTGGGTCAGGATCCCAGGCAGCAGCAGAGTCAGGCACAGGCTCCAAGGATGCCAGAGGGATGGGGCCTGCAGATGAGACAAGGCCTGGGGTGGGCCCTGGGATGGCTGGGACACCGGACACTACAGGTGGTGTAGCACACAGGGACCGTGCTATGGGCCACGGGAAGCTGGGGACACCAGGAGGGCCACATATCTTTTCAGGTGGCCAGGGTGTCAAGAACAGTCTTGGGGGCCGTGGACCCTCAGGAATCCCTGAAGCCTTGGGGGCTATTGGTTCTGTGAGGAAACCAGGTATCAGGGAATGGAAAGATGGTTCTGGGTTCCCAGGGTCTCCTGGGGAAAGTGGGACTCCCAGTGGGGAGGGAGGGTCTATAGACAAAGCGGGAGCTGTGGGGACCTCCAGGCTTCTTGATGGTAGGGGGACAGTGGGCGGGGAGGGTGGGTCTGGGGTAGCTGCTCTGGAGTCGGAAAATGATTGGGACTTTAGTCAATTAGGCTTGGGGACAACAGGCAGGTGTAGAGTGGCTGGCCAGGGTGAAGAGCCACCGCAGGAAGGTGGAGACTCCCTGGAAGGTAGGAGGAGGGAAGCAGGTTCTGGGAGCATGTCAGGAGCAGGGCAGGTGACAGAGAGCGGTTCCACACCAGGGAGAGAGACCAAGTCAATGTCAGGACGGGACAGTGGGCAGGACACGAGCCACACTCGGCCTCCAGGCTGGGAAGACCAGGTTCGAGGCGGCTCCAGGGCTTCTAGCTCGCTGGGGGAGAATGATGCCATTTTCAGACAAGCCCAGGAGGGGCAAAGAGCCTCCAAGGGCAGGGGCTCTGTGACAGGCCGAGAGGCTGCCGGTGAATGGCAAGGTCCATGCCCCTCGGAGAGCAGAGGCTTGGGTTTTAGAAGGGGCGGGGCTGGTTTGACAGATGGCTCCCGTGTCCATGGCAGAAGGAATTCCACTATGCGTGGAGATGGTGCCACTTCAAAACCGCAGGGACCCCAGGATGAATTAGATAGTCCCTTAAGCAGAAGGGACTTCGGAAGTGTATCGGGAGGAATCCAGGAGCCAGGTTTTCAACTCGAGGCAGGGCAGGGAGATCAAAGAGGGTCCCTCCAGGAGTGGGGATCCTGGGAGGCTAAGACCGGCAAGGTCCAAGGATCTGGGGCCTCAGAGAAGTATGAAGGGCAGGGAAGGAAAGGCCCTGGCTGGTCAGGCAGGAAGCCTGGTCCCTACGGAAGCAAGTGTCAGCCACAGATTGGGACTGAAGTGGGATCAGCCAAGAGAGGGCCTACAGAGAGGGCCAGAGGTCCGGGGCATTGGACGAGCAGTGAGGACAGAGGGTCTCTGAGAGAATCTTGGAGTGAAGATGGGAGGCAAGACCCCCACAGGCATCTTGACAGCAGGAGAGAAACCCAAGAGGGAAGGCCAGATGTCTGTGGCCAGGGACAAGATGCTACCCAGAGCCCCAGATCCAGATACAAGCCTGGCCCTGGCTCTTCTACGGAGGCCCGAGGTAGGTACTCCAGCTGTTGGCTCCCTTAGGGTGGAGCCAGAGGGTAAGGTCGCTGGATACTGGGGTGCCCACATGCTATTTCTACCTTCAGCATGGGAACTCATCCCCACCAGTGTCTCCATTTTCTAGAATCCCTTGCAAATTCAGGGAGGAGCCTCTCCTTTTCCCTCCCTGGGGCTCCAAGCTGTGTGAAACTCAAATATCTGCTGGATATTAACTCTTGAAACCATTTGTCCAAAGTCCCTGCATATTAGCTTGCCTCTGTGATTCAGAATCCCCATCTGTGGTACTCAGGGGCGGGGAGATGCTCTTCATCTACCTTACACATCAGCCTAGGAAAACAGGAAGTTGGGCATTGGTTCTGGCTGAGTCCTGTGGGCAGGACCATGGAGGCCTCCCAGAATTCAATGCAAGCCAGGGCATAAGAGGCTGGGCTTTTGGGACTTTGTGTCTCTCTAGGCTCCATGGACCACTTCTCTCGGGGTCTGGTGGATACGGAGGTGCAGCAGGGGGAAGCTGCCATACTTTCCTGTACCCTCACCAGTGACATGGGACCTGGCACCTGGTTCAAGGATGGAGTCAAGGTACTGATGCCTCACACCTCACACCTTCCCTTTCCTAACTGATGTGGGTGGGGGTGAGGGGCGTGGCGAAGCCGAGAAGTAGAAGAGTCTAGGCAGAAGTTTTCACTCCTCATGTTACTAATATTTCTACTCTGGGAGATGTTTAAACAGCTGGAGTGTGGCGTATTCAAAATAAACACATTATGAATGTGTGACTTACTCCAAGTTTGACACAGCTTTGGCTGCCCTCCCCCAACCCCAAAAGCTTCTCAGAAGAATTCCACTCACCCTTAAAGGCCTTGCACAAATACATTGTCTCATCCTGACCAGCTTGGCTCACTGGTCTCCCAGAGCAGCCTCTCTGTGTCCCGTCAAGCTGTCACATCCAGCAGTGCAGCACAGTGATGTCAGAGAGATCTGACTCCCCATCAGATCTCTGCTCCGCTGTCACGAGTTATGTGACCTCGGACAAGTCCCCCATCTATAAAATGGGACTTATAATAGCACGGATCTCAAAAGGCTCTTTTGGGCGTTAGTGGAGGCACTAGGTAGGCACGGTGGCAAGCAGCGATGACTGTCTAGTTCATGGGGGCAGTTCTTAGGACCGAACTGGACAGGGTGGGGGTGGCCATCTCCATGGTGATCATTGTCTCCAGCTCACTGCCCATGATGGGGTCATCTTTGAGCAAGATGGGCTCACACACAGACTGACCCTCACCCACTCGGAGGGCACCCAGGCTGGGAGATACACTTTCGTGGCCGGCAGACAGCACACGGAGGCCAGCCTGACCGTGCAAGGTGAGGCCCAGCCCTTCCCAGCCCTGTAGTCTCTGCATCGGGTGAAAATGACCCTCCGCGGAAGCCCTGAATTCGAGACTTGTCTGCAGTCTTCTCAGACTTTTTATGAAGCCCACACAGGCCTTTCCCAACCTGATATCTCATCTCCTTCTTTTTATTTATTTATTTATTGGTTTTTTTTTGGGGGGGGGGTGTTTCGAGACAGGGTTTCTCTGTGTAGCTTTGCGCCTTTCCTGGAACTCGCTTTGGAGACCAGGCTAGCCTTGAACTCACAGAGATCCTCCTGCCTCTGCCTCCCAAGTGCTGGGATTAAAGGCGTGCACCACCACCGCCCGGCCTCAATGATTTCACTTTTTTTTTTTTCCGGAGCTGAGGACCGAACCCAGGGCCTTGCACTTGCTAGGCAAGTGCTCTACCACTGAGCTAAATCCCCAACCCCTTCATCTCCTTCTTTACCAGGAAGTTCATGGTGAGGTCTGACCCTGGTCCCTCCTGCTGCAGACTCAGCCCATTCCCTTTGCTAGTCCTCATGGGGTGGGGTAGGGGACTCCTCTAGGCTCTTTCTGTGATTCCCAGGGCCCCAGGGCTCAGTCCTCGCTGAATCTTTTGCTCCGCTTTTTTCTCCAGATCCCCCCACCATTGCTCCAGATGTGACAGAGACACTGAGAGAGCCACTGGTGTTCAAAGCAGGGAAGCCAGTGACTCTGAAGATCCCTTTCCAGAGCCGCCTCCCTGTTCAGGCTGTCTGGAGGAAGGATGGGGAGGAGGTGGTGGGCAGCAACCGCAGGGACATCCAGGTGGCCCTGGGGGATGGCTACACACGGCTGTGCCTCCCCAGCGTGTGCAGGAAGGACAGTGGCCAGTACAGCGTTACACTGAAGAGCGACGGAGGCTGCATGCAGGCTGAATTCACTCTGCACGTCATAGGTGCTAACCCCGTCCGTTCTCTCTCTAAGGCCCCAGGGCTTGTGGTCCCAGGCCCTCCCTGGTAGTTGGGACAGGCCTGGGGATGGACTTTGCTAACCTGCTTAACTACCATTTGCACGATAGTTACGATTCAAACCCTGCTTACCTACTTTCCTGTCCCCAGACCACCCAGGAAGAAGAGTTTAGATAAGCCAGGGCCAGACACAAGCTGGCGGGGGGACCCTGTTGTGCCTCTGTGAGCTCCAGATTCTGGGGGAGACGCTCAACGGAATGGTGGCCTCCAGCTTGTAGCAGCAAAGTCAGATGGTGTATACCAGAGAGCTAAGCAGGAGCCCATGCTGGCCACTGAATGGGGCTGGCTGCAGGCTGGAGGTTCTGTGGTCTCTCCTAGGACAGGACCGGGGAGGTAGAGACTTAGGGGACACCAAGAGATGTTTGGAACCTCCCCATGAGCTGGCGCCTCACCTCAGCCCCTGGCTGTGTCAGGAGCCATGTGCATCTCTGGGAAGCCTAACCCCTTTGCAGACTTACCCACTGAAGAGGGGATAGGAACATGCCCTCCTCCAGCTTCTCTGATCCTTTCTCCTTCTGCTCCTCTCCATGGGTCCTCAGACAAGCCTCAGCCCCCACAGGGACCCCTGGAGGTACAGGACTGCCACAGAGCAGGTGTCTGTCTCCGCTGGCGGCCCCCGAGGGACGACGGCGGCCAGGCCATACAACACTACGTGGTGGAAAGGCGGCAGGCTGGAAGGAGCACTTGGCTGAAGGTGGGCGAGCCTCCACCGGACAGTACCAGCTTCACCGATGCCAGCGTGGAGCAGGGCCGGAAATATGCCTTCCGTGTGCGGACTGTGACCTCAGAGGGAGCCGGGGACGCCCTGGAGTCTGAGGAGGTGTTGGTGGCTCCTGAGGGTGAGGGGCCAGATGGCACATGGATAGTTTCCCCCCCCGCCCTCTCTCTCTTGTGCCCAGAGTGCAGGCTGAGGGGTTGCCAGCTGTGCTTGGAGGCGGGAGGGCTTGAGGCCTCCACCACCGCTGACTGGCACCCTCTGCCTTCAGATCTCCCGGGGCCCCCTTCCGCCCCAGACATCTTATCAGCCTCCAGCCAGAGCATCACTCTGACATGGGCAGCACCACGGGGCCCCAGCAGTGCCCACATCTTGGGCTACCTGGTGGAGAAGCGCAAGAAAGGGAGCAACACCTGGGTGCCTGTGAACGAGCAGCCCGTGTCTGGTGAGTTGGCCCGAGGGCAGCTTCTCACCGACCCCTGTCCCAAGTTGCCTCAGAGCCCTTCCTGGCGACCGGATCCCTTGGCATTGCCAGTGCGCATCAGTTTAACATGGCTGCTTCTCAGCTGGGGCAGTTTTGTAGCTATAGGAGATATTTAGCCGCGTCTGGACCTAATTATGATGGTCGCAGCTGGGTGGAGAATATATATTCCTGACAACTTGTGTGACGAAGCCAAGGATGCTGCTGAACAACCTACCCCCAAACCCCAGAGGATCGTCCAGAAAAGTCTATCAACAGAGCTGAGCTTGAGGACCCCTGGGGTAGGAGTCTCAGACCGGAAGCCAGGGGTTAAGCTGTCCTCTCTGGTCCCTCCACTTTAGGCCTTGGCCACGGGCAGCCCACTTTCTCTGTAGATCTCGGCCTCCTCACTGATAACGCAGATGGAAATGCCCTGACCCTCTTAGGTAGCATCCTAGAAGCTAGCTGCTTCCTGAGATAAGAAAGAGCCTGGGAAAGACTAAGGATGGGACAGGTGTGAAGGAAGCTTCCAGGACACTGTGCATGTCTACACCCTGCGAGTACCAAGACCGAGCTCGGAATAGATCATCAGGAGTCCTGTAATGGCCATGCCACTTAGGAGTTAAAGCCCCTTGGGGCCCATATCCTCACATCTCTAATGTCCCCGTTTAGTATTTGTGTATTACAACTCTGAGGCAGCATGAATTGGACACAACAAAGTGACATCCAGATCATCCAGCAAGGTCGTGGCACAGACGGGATGGGGATGAAAGCACCCTGAGCGCTTCTCTTTTCTCCTTGGAAGCAACTCGGCCACACCTGGCTGGTGCAATGCAGGAGGGTTGTGTTAGACCCCAGGCTTGATCCTCTTCTGAATATTTGGAGGTGCTGAGCTATGTCCTCATTTCCTGGTCCCGCCATGGGAGACTAATATGGGATGTGGTCTTCACAGAAAGGCGGTACACCGTGGCGGATCTGCGACAGGGCTGCCAGTATGAGTTCCGGGTTATCGCTGTGGCTCCCTCAGGCCCTGGAGAACCTGGGCCTCCATCGGATGCTGTCTTCGCTCGAGATCCCATGAGTAAGTAAGACACCAATCCAGGATGTGGGTAAGGGATGCGCAAGGGATAGCTTGGAAACTGTGGGACAGTTCACAGGTCAGAGGCAGTCCAGAGGGAGATGGTCAGGAGGGCTGGAAGTCAGAAAAGCCACTAGGATAAGATGTGTCTTAAAGGGTCTAAACTGAAGTCAAACGGGTCCAGAGGCCAAGCAGGAGAACTTCCCAAGATCATGTTATCCACTCTTTGGCTTCTGGGAAGGTCAGTCTCGATGTTAGCCCAGTGGTATCACCCATCCACTAGTAGGTAGTCTCATCCCTGGAGACCAGGTAGCTTTAGTTTTCTACCCGATTCATGCTGTTCATCACTTGCAAAAGGGCCAGCATTGCTCCAGGAACTAGGTGCCCCCACCCCAGCCTCTGTCTTTGGCAGACAGACAACCTAGGCCAGCATTCACCTGTCTGTGGTCTCAGCAGCAAGAAGATGTCGAGAAACATTTTCTGGAAAACAGAAACAGCAGAAGGTCCGGCATTAAAGATAGGTATGACCCGAGCTCTCACATGTCCATGCCTCCCAAGAAAGACACTTGTCTGACATTGATTCAAAGCCCTCAGATTCAAGTAGAGAAGAAAGACGCTTCTCATGGAACGCTATTAAAAGCTTCACTCCAAGGCATAGAGTTTAGAAGATGTTACTCTGTGCACCTCGCACAAGCCTGCTGGGGACAGGCATCGAGGCAGCAGGACACGGGAGGCACCTGTGCCGTCAGCTTTGTGACGACTGTTTGTACAGCTCCAATAACAATAGAAAATTCCACAAGTCTACAAGGGATGGGAGGTGGGGAGGGGGAGCTGGCCTATGTGTCTTTTCCTTGCACATAGACCGAATCCCTCCTGCTTCACTACTCTCATCAGTGATGGGGAAGGGAGGAAGCAGGATGTTCAGTGTCTGAAGCAGCCGCAGCAGTTGACTGTGACTATATCCTCTAGACTGGCTGTGAGCAAAGCCTGTAGACTGGAAATGTCACTTGGGAACCTTCCTGCAGCATCTCAGGCCATATGTAGTGACACACACCTGCAAGTCTAGCACGGAGGAGCTGAAGAGGAGACACATATTTTAGATAGACAGACAGACACGTGCATACATACATACATACATTCGTAGATAGATAGGTAGAAAGAAAAAAGAGAGGGAGGAAGGAAGGGAGGGAGAGAGGAAGAACATCTTAGGTGTCACCTCAGAACTCCCGAATTAGATCTGTGTTTTTAATGAAACCCCTCAATGATTTGAGTACAAATTCAAGGCTGAGAAGCACTCCCCTAGACCACTGGTTTTAAACATCACCACATTTAGAAATACCAGTGATCCCTTACCATTCCTGGTACCTTCGCTGCACCCCAGATTAAATGAACAGACTGTGGGGCTGGTATCTTCCAGACAGAATGTTGAATGGGCAGCTAGCCCTGACAGCCAGACCACCACCCTGAAGTGTTACACTCAAACCACACACGCCACGCCGTTTGCCTGTCCCAGGGTCCCCATGGGTAGGTGGAGCTGCCGTTGTTCCCATCTAACAAATGAAGAACGAGAAATCCTTGCTTAGTTGTTCCCAACCGAGAGTTACAATTCTTACAGACACAGAACTCCAGTCTCCAGACACAATGGAGCACAAAAGATTATCAACTGAAAAATACCAGCTTTCAAGGATTACAGGGTAGTTAGGGGCTGGCAAGTTGGCGGGTGAGTAGAGGAGGTGACTAGACTCACACGCACAGCTGGGGTACAATACCAATTCTAGGTAGGTTCTGAGGAAACCCCTGAGTGGAAGAAATCCCAAGTCCCTGGCAGCAAGACTCCCCCCGGGGGGAAACTGACACATTCCTGAAATTTCCATGGTGCTTGGCCAGGACCTCCAGGACCTGTTCAGGATCTCCGGGTTACAGACACATCTAACACCAGCATCACCCTGAGCTGGAGGAGGCCGGACACCCAGGATAACGATGAAGCCCACGGGTTCATTGTGGAGTTGTGTGGCTCACACAGCCTTCAGTGGAGCCCATGCCACGTGGGCACTGTGCCAGGCACCACCTTCACAGCCAAGGGGCTTCGGCCCCAAGAAGGCTACCTCGTGCGGGTGACAGCGGTCAATGATGGGGGCCGTGGCCCCGCCACTTCCCTAGACTCATTGGTCCATGCCGCGCCTGCTACCGGTGAGTGTCACCTCCTTCCCCACCCTGAGTGCTATAGCCCCTTCCCGAGAGGCACCGCTCTGCGGCCATCGCTCTGCGGCCATCGGCTGCCTTCTTAACCGAGGGATGGTGTCAAGGACTGAGCTAAGTGGACCCCTCTTAGGAACGCTTTCTTGTGACAGCGCCTGTCCTACATAGTTCATACTTTTAATCCCTAGTCTGCAGAGATGGAAACAAAGGTCCAAGACGCTTTGCCCAAGATATCACCATTATTATGCCCAAGACTAGGCTTTAAAACAAGTGACTCCAAGGCACGGGCGCTGCTTAGTTTGAGATGGCACACGCCCAAGCTCCCTGCTATTGCAGGGTGGATTGTGTTTCCCTTCAGGCCTTAACTGCTAGAAGCAAATCCCCTGTCTTTGTGAGCTGTACCAACTCGCTCTAGCTGTCGCAGAGGCGGTAAGGAGCTGGTTACAATGAAAAGCACAGAGCTCCTGAGTCCAGAATCTTAGACTCTTGTCCTGGCTGTGTCCCTAACTTGGTGTGAGCAGGAAGGTCACACTCTGACTTGGGCTAATGGTGCTCTCACCCTCAAACAAAAATGTCGTTGTCCCCGGGATCCTTGCTCTAGACTAACCTTCACCTTCCCTGGTGGCAGCCTTGACCCTCTCAAAGGATGGTCCCTGTCAGCTCCTGGTGATTCCCCCCAGGGTGCCCTTCCAAGCTCTCTCCATCATGCCATTACACTGGCTCAGCCTTCTACCTGTATGCTGGGCGACCTGAGGCTGGACGCCAACTGTGGAGGGAGGTGACAAGCTGTCTTGTGTGTTCTAGTCTGTCCCAAGTTCCTCATGGGCTCCAGCACAAAGGATTCGCTGATGGTCAGGGTTGGGGACAGCATTCGAGTTCCGGTCTCGTTTGAAGTGAGTATACCCGGAAGGGTGTGTGCTGGGGCATGGGGACCCCAGAGCAACCAGGAAACCAGACAGTCTTGGGGTATTCTTTCTTCCTTGTTCATCTTTAGCCCTAGTCACAGACTTGGGCTTGCCTCGGAAATCAGGCCCAGTGTGAAGTGGGTAGGCAGGAAAATGGTTCTTGAAGCTACAGCTGGCATCTGGCTTCTTGGCCGCCATTCTACTTTCCTGTGCAGGGCACACACCCTCTAGTGGTAGCTTTTAATACTGCACCTCCAAGTTAGAGCACTCCATTTTCTTAGTCTGGGAACTGAGGGAACCCACAGGGTGGATAACCATTTTTGCCTCTAGAATATATTTTTGTGCAAGCACATGATGTGAGTTTTGCTCAGGATGATTCTAAGCCAATATCAATGCTGCCTGCCTCTATGTACAGTAACTAATGAAATGGTTAAAAACACAGACTGCCCAATATCAACAACATCAGTCACTAGTCTGGCTCCGGACAACATCTTCCCCTCTCTGTGTTTGAACTTGCTCGTCTCTCAAATGGTATTGAGAGTTCTCCCATTTCTCCCCTGAGCTGACCAAAAGGCTGAGAACGTGATAGCAGTAAGTAGCCTGGGCCTGTTCTCTGTGGTTTCCATGTGTTGTTAAGGCCTGAACCCTCGGAACACTCCCGCGGATAAATTAGCATTCTCCGAGTGCCCGGTACAGGGGCCCCACAGGCAGTTGGTAGCATCCTCATCCTGCAGCTGGAGGGACTTGGGTCCTAGGCCTGACTGAAGTGTAAGATCCTGATCCCTCTATGAGATCAGACATACACCCTGGAGAAATCTGACCTTGTCTCCCTGAAGTTTGGCCCTTGAGACAAAGGGCTGGCAGCTCTTGCCAGGAGTATGCAGATCTCAAGGGGGAGGGGGGAGCAAGCCTGGCCCCCAAGGACTGAAGGCGCAGGCCAGCTCCCTGGGAGGATTTCTCTAGAGCGCTGGCTCCTCGTGCAGACCTCGGTGGCTGCCTCTCCTACTCTCACTTGAAGCTGTCTCCCCTAATGTTCCCGCAATGCCTCTCTAATGCTCTCCGACCTCAAGGCTCACTGCCCTGCCTCTGGTATAAGGTATCATCCCTCCTAATGCTTTCCCGCCATAAGGCTTGATCATGCCCCGTGTGATGGCGAGGGTCCCTCTCCTCATTAAGCTCATGCCGAAGGGCAATTTCATGTCAGCTCCTTTCCTAAACCTGCCACTCTCCTGTCCTCGACAGTCGTCACAATTCTAGGCTAGGCTGCGTAGTCTACCCCCTACAGCCTTTCTCTCTATTGCAGGAATTTCCAAGTCATCCCCTAGCTTGCCTTGGGCACCAGGGAGGGGGATACCCTTTCCCGATTAGTCTCTCCTCACTTCCACCCAGTATCCCACGCGAATCCAGAGCCAGCTGTACTGTCCTGGGAACATCTAACAGCGTCAGCACCCTCAGAGTGAAATCTATGGGTCCGCACGGCTGTGGGGTGGAGGATCAGCACAGCACAGTATCACAGCACAGTATCACAGCACAGTATCACTGCACAGTATCACTGAGTCTCCTGGCCACGCCTCCCTTCCTATCCCATCATCCCACCATACCTCCTGGGCAACCCCACACTTTACCACCTCCCGCATAGCCTATTCCTAACCAGGTGCTTGTTCACCTCCAAGTGCTCAGGTGCATCCCCTTCTGCCTAGAATCCTCTTCTTGCCCTTCTACATTAGGCCCAGCTTACATGCTTTTACTTTTATAAGATTTCCTCCATGAAGAACAATAATGGGGAGGAGGGAAGGGATCATGAAGGACGGGAAGCTAGAGAGAGAGGTTAATGGCCTTAAGGAAAGAAAGAAAATAGCATGTTCTCTCTCTCTCTCTCTCTCTCTCTCTCTCTCTCTCTCTCTCTCGTGTGTGTGTGTGTGTGTGTGTGTGTGTGTGTGTATGTGTGTGAGAGAGAGAGAGAGAGAGAGAGAGAATGTGTGATATGAAAGCAGAAAGAGGCCTCTATCAGGAAGATGCGGTGATATATATGCAATAAAACGTCACAATGAAACCTACTATTTTATATGCTAACTAAATAATTTATTTGCACAGACACCTTTAAAAATAAAGGAACTTCCCCTTCTCAATGTGTCTTCTTCACTCTTGTTTCTCAGGCTGCCCCCATGCCTGAGGTGACCTGGCTGAAAGATGGCTTGCCCTTGCCCAAAAGAAGCGTGACCACCGTGAAGGACGGCCTCACCCAGCTTCTGATTCCTGCAGCTAGCCTCTCGGACCGTGGCCGATACACCGTGATGCTGAGACACCCACAGGGGAAGGAGGCCGTCTACAGCTTCTCCATCAGTGTGGCAGGTGAGGCCGGCTGGGCTGTGGCCTCTCACCAAGGTGTGAGGGCTGCCTCTGTCCTGGGCACAGGTCACCGTCCTGAGTAGGCACGGTGACCACACTGTTGACCCGATGTGCCTGAAGGGCACAGCAAGCAGAGCAGGAGAGTCCCGGAAAGCCCCCACTGTTCTGACCCGTGAACTTGGCGACAGCCCGCCCTCATGTCTTCCCTGCTCTGCTTTTGGAGTTCAAGAGCAAATGCAGTTCTCACCACTGTGTCGCTGAAGGACCCCACGGGAAGAACTACCCATGACCCTTGTGCAGGTTAAGGGTGTCTCTTCCCTGGAGTGGCTCTCACTTCCCAGCAGCGCTGAGTATTCAGGAATGCCTAACAGGAGGCATCTGTGATTTGAGTTTATGAAAACTCCAACTTAGGTCCGTGTCCTCTCATTTTATCTTTTTTAAAAAAAAATGTGAGTTAATGAGTATTTTTATGGAAGTCATCTGGGATGGTGAGTACCTATATTTCTTGGTCTTGGTAGAATCCAAAGTTAAGGCTAGACTGGGTTACAGTGGGTGAAACCCTGCCTAAAAGGGGAAAAAAAGAGAGAGATTTTCCACCTTATAAAGATAATTGTACGCCCAGACCTGGCTCCCCCTGGCCCTTCACCTGCCTGGCCAACACTGCATTCTGCAGGATCCCCCAGAAAGCTTGGGGGCCCGGAGAAGACTGAGCAGAATTTCTGTGACTCCTCTGCAGCATGCCTTTCTCTGCTCTCTCTGGTAGCATGCCCACAGGCACCAGGATCCATCTACCTGCGGGAGAATGTGCCTGGGACAGTGACGGTCCAATGGGAACCCTCCCCGGACGAGGCTCAGGGCATCCCCTTGCACTATACGGTGCTGATGCGTTCCTCATCTCATGGATCCTGGCATGAGGTGGCTGACCGCGTCCACACCAACCACTTCACCTTCCTGGGGGTCCTCCCTGGCCATGAGTACCACTTCCGGGTGCTGGCCAAGAATGAGCTGGGGGCCAGCAAACCTTCAGACACCAGCCAACCCTGGTGCATCCCCAGGCAGAGAGGTAAGGATCCTCCGAGAGGGAGGAGCTTAGCTGTCTGCTGCTGTGCTTAGGGTAGTGGGCTGCATGGAATGGGAGCACTTCCATCTACTCAGACATGTAGGGTTCCTCCCACTGCCTGCTCAGTGCCCACCTATATGGGTGCCCACTGCCTTGGATTCAGGATGGGCCCCCACCTCAATAGGCAGAAAGAGTCAGGCTGCGGGTATTGGAATGTCTAGAGGCTTTTGGGTGAATTCACAAAAAGAACAGTGAGCAATAAGTTAAAAATGGAAGTTATGCCGGGCGGTGGCGGCGCACGCCTTTAATCCCAGCACTCGGGAGGCAGAGTCAGGTGGATCTCCGTGAGTTCAAGGCCAGCCTGGACTACAAAGTGGGTTCTGGGAAAGGCGCAAAACTACACAGAGAAACCCTGTCTTGAAAAACAAAACAAAACAAAAAAGAGAGAGAGAGAGAGAGAGAGAGAGAGAGAGAGATAGATCTGAAAAATGGAAGTTATTATTTCTCTAAAATAAGCATATTTTAAACATCAAATAAGTGTAGATATTTAAAGAGGTCACTAGAAAAATAAGATTACAGAACTAGCCGAATCATTTCACCTCTCTAAAATACAAAAATGTCTAGAAAGTTCTGCACCGAAATGTCAGTTGCAGTCATGTATAGGTACGTTCTGGTTTGTAAAAAAAAAAAAATTTACAAGTTTTTAATAGTCTTAAAAATCAAAACATAATTTTAGGAATAAGATAAAAACAATGTCGGGTTGTGCAGATGAGACGGGGGAGGCCCAGCTGGCAGGCCTCCAGCAGGACCATGGGCTCCTCTGACCTTCTAACCATCCTTCCTTCTGCCCCGGATTTCACCACAGAGAGGTTCGCCGTGAAGACACCAATATACCGGGAACCCAACCTGAGCCAGAAGCCCCGCTTCCTGGTGGGTCTGCGGACCCACCTTCTGCCCCAGGGCTGCGAGTGCCGCATGACCTGCGCTGTGCAGGGCTCACCCCGGCCCCAGGTCACCTGGTTCAGGAACGACCAGAGCTTGGACAGAAACCCTGCGCTGTACAGCACTGACGTGCTGAGTGTGTGCTCCCTCGTCATCCCCAGTGTGTCCCTGAAGGACAGCGGCGAGTACAAGGCTGTGGCCAGGAACCCCCTGGGTCAGGCTGTCAGCACGGCCACCCTCATTGTCACAGGTAATGATGGCTGCCCTGGCAGGGGACCTCGTGGGCAGGGGACCAGAAAGGAGAGCCAGAGGAGCAGCCTATGACTTCAGGGGCTCTCGGGGCCTGTCTTCTCCACATGACTCAGCTGGTATATCATGAGACTCGGGGTTCTCCCTGCCTCTGGGAGTATTCTAATATGTATTCAATCTGACCTTCCCAGAATCTCTTGGGGTTTGATTTGCCCATTTGTAAAATAAGACATTGGCTGCTTTAGGGGCCTGTACTACCCACCTAAGTGTCCCTATGTGACCTGGCACATGCCTCAGGATGGGACTTAAAATATTTGCTCTCCGTGTCCTTTTATATTTGTGTTGCATGCTGAGTCTTTAATCAAGGCAAATATGCTCCTTTGAGCAAGACAAATATGTACCAATGAGAAAATTCTTGGGTGGCACTGGATCAGCCTGTACCCAGTATTTCAGTCTTCACAATGGGACAGGTATGGGAGGGCCCACTACCCCTTGAGGGTCATCTGAAATATCCCATGTCTTGCAGAATACAACTCCTAGCCCCACTTGGCCTGGAATCCTAGCCTAGCCCCACCCCACAGCCATGAGATGGATGGGAACTCTCTGAAGCTTTACCCCCTGATGCCCACACTGGCCTGGGGAGCCAACCCAGAATGACAGTGGATGTTCCTCTGCGAGACAGGAACAAGAGGGCTCTGGTGAGATGTGACCAGAAGGGCTGAAATCATTGAAGAAGTAGAATAAGGGTGAAGGATGTGTGTGGTCTTAAGCTGAATCATGGCTCAGGGTGACCCTGGCGCTGTGGGTGTCTTTGTTCTCCACATCTGGATGAAGCTCCAGAGAGAGTGATCCACAGGGGTGGCAGCTGAGCCCACTGTGACCACAGGAGAAAAGTCATGGAGGGCAGAGGACCTGGGTGAAGGCATCAAGGATATGTGTATGGGGGATCCCTGTACTTCATTAAAACAGCAGGCTAAGAAAGGCGGACTCTTTGCAGAGTAACTTGGGACTGATGGGTTGGAGGGAGGAACACAAAGCGAAGGCCTCTGAGTGGAGGATGGGTGGGGCTCTGGCTCCCAGGGATCAGAATAGTGCTCACCTGCAGCAGGGCAGAAAAGCCAAGTTAGGTGAGAGGGTCTACGAAACCGAGGCTCCTTTTTCCTGATCCGTATCTCCCACAGGCCACTGTCCTGCAAAAAAACAAACAAACAAACAAAAAAACAAAACAAACAAACAAAAAACCCTCCCTGGAGCCAGGAATGGGCTGGATTGGGGATAATTCTACTGCAGTCTGCTCTGGGGGCTCCTGTCGGCAGAGATGAGGGATACTATCAAGTGCACGGAGATCTGATTCTCACACAAGGCTCCATGAAGCCTCCTCAGTTTCTCCATAGTTCCATCGCCCTATGTCATAGGTAAGATGGATCCATCTCTATGTGACCCACCACCACCAAAACCTATAGGGCATACCTATATACCTGTTCCTCGGGACACCCAAGACATGTTCTGGAGTTTGCAGGGGTCGGAGGCAGGAGCGAGCCCTGGAGAAGGGCCAACCTCACCTTCTCCCAGGATGTTACAACCAGGTCTGATAGGTTCCCTGACAAGTGGGCACACAATCTGCTCTGCCTGCCCTCTGATCATGGGCTCTCCTTCACCCAAACCCATGGCAGACTTGGACATAAGAAATACAAGTCATAGATGAAGAGTCTGGGGATGGATGTCAAAAGCATCTCCCTATGAACTGACAATGTGTGGTTGAGTTGGAGGTTCCGCTAAGAACGTCTCCCACAGGCAAGGATACCAGAATGCCTTTGTATAGACAGGCTGTAGGCCATTCCTGCCCCCGCCAAGGAAGCTCACTTTTCCTTGGGATTTCTCCTGCTGCCTCTGCCTTGTGATTGCAGTAACAAGACAGAAGGAAATTCTGGGGATTGGAATTCAGGTCCCATGCGTATGAAGCAAGCACTTTATCCACTAAATCATCTCCACAGCACCTGGAAACAAATTTACTTAAAGGCATACCACCACTCCATACTATATATAGAGCCAACCTAGAAATAGCCCAAGGACACACCACCTTCTGATGGAGAAACCTTGGTTAGATATCTTGTCATAATAGCGGAGATAATGCCACTGTACCTCTCAAACTTATCCCCAGCTCTCTGGTGTCCCTGCTCAGGCATCAAGTATTGCATGCATTTCCTGAGGAGCCTGTTTCCACCTCTCAAACTTATCCACAGATCTACGGTGTCTGCTCAGGCATCAAATACTGCATGGATTTCCTGAGGAGTCTGTTTCCATTCATCTGGGATAGAGAGGGCAACCCCTGGCCAAAGAAACGGTTCTGTCCAACTCTTGGTGAACAGAAATTAATTAGGATTGCTTACAGAAGCGTGACCATAACATTGATGAAGAGTCACCCTCCCCCCATCATTAACTCCTGGGGATGGGGATTCAGGTACCTTTGTGCCTATGTACTCCACGAGTCTTGTGAGCCCTTCCATCCTTCCATGAGAGAATGTTAGTGTCCACCTTGAGAGAGTCTTATGAACGTAAATACAGCTGTTCTGATTTCAATCTGGCCTTGGCTACGCCATGACCAAAGAACACAGTACCATAACACGGGCTACTAAGAGAGTTTACAGGAGTTCTGGATAGAAGGATCTAACTAAAAATAGTTTGTACTTCCATAATCATCAGAAATCAACTAGAAAGTATCACTTTTAAATTACTACTACTTTGGGTAGCAACAAATACATGAAACACCCAAGGCTAAATAGAACAAAAGATGAGCAAAATCCACACGGAGAAACAATAAAAACTTTACTGAAAAAATAAGGTATAAATAAATTGATGCACTACATTAATGGACAGGAAGCTAATATTATAAAGGTGGTGGGGCCACTTAGGAAGATAAATAATCACTTTGGGAATGAATATCTCATCCATGGCTGATTGTGGGAGTGACATTAACGATGACAGTATATTGTTACAAAATGGGAACACAAGTTTGTACTCAAAGTTAATGGCGCAGCCTTTGTGGCTGTTATTCCAGCCTGTGTTTGGCCTATAGGTTGTCCGTGCAGTATCTGCTCTCTGCCCCGAGCTCTGCCAGCTAGTGCCCCTTGCTTTAACCTCTCTGGGCAGACTCCTAGTGTCTCAGCTGAAGCAGGGCCACCATGCACCCCCAGGGTGGCATTCGGTAAATTAGGCATGCATCTCTCCTCTTGGAAGGTCTTGAGATGCCCGCCCCCGCTTAGGATGGAGGTGAGTAGCTGGAGGACAGTGTGAGGTGGACAGAGGTGGGTGGCGTCTCAGACGGGTGGGGGAGGGGAGCAACTGCTCCACAGCCCTGGGTTAGCACGGCCTCTCGTTTGGCTTCCTGCTCTGCTGTTGCCACCTTCAACAGTAATGCATTTCTTCTCAGCCGGGAGGGGCTCTGTGGTGTCATAGTGCACTGACCGGCAGGGTGGAGGTAGCCCTGAGCAGTCAGTCCAAGCGATGCACGCACTGTTACTACGGGTGCTTACACTTAATGTTACCACGAAGGTCAGAGAACAACTTTCTGGGGAGTGGGTCCCCGAGATCACACTCAAGCCACCAGGCTTGTCACCAGCATCCTACCTACGCGTCACCTCACCATAATGCCCCTCGACATTAGCTTTGTCCACGGTCCTGAGCTCATCCACCCCAGGGCTGGCTTGGTGTGGTGGAACACATCCAGAATTAGAGGAGGACTGCGAATCTGAGATTAGCCTAGGCTGTACGACAAGACCCGGCGTCCAAACAGAAGGGCTGGGCTACAGATCAGAGATAGAATGTCTGTTGAGCATGGTTCAGGACTGGGGTTCAGGTCCCAGAACTGCAAAAGCAAACAAAACCCACACGGTTGGGTGGTTGTTCATTGGTTTCTGAGCACTTGAAGAGAGGCCAGGTGTGCTGGAGATCTCTCAGGCACTAAGTTCACTGTGGATCCAGTCTTGGATTTCAAAGGGGCTCAGAGTAGTGTCTCACCATCCAGAGGCTGCTCTGGTAAAGTCACCCTCCTGTGACTGTCCCATATCCAGTCTTCCTGGGATTCCTCACACTCCCTCACACTGGCGACTGGGTCTCTTTGTGTTATTGTGTCTTAGGATCTGCCAGTCCCCCGCCACCACCTACACACGAGACAAACTCCTCCAGTCTTCTCAGAAACCTGCACCATCCCAAATCTCTTCTCTACTGCTGCTTTAGGTTCCTTAATCGGGGAGATCGAGATCCTGAAAAGGGGGACTCTGTAGCGCAGTGACATTCGGGCTGTCGTGCTCTGTGGCTCCAGGCCTCCACAGTGGGTCACCTCCCTTTTGCTGCTGCTGTACCCTACAAGGGGCTGCCCTCCCCAAGAGCTTCCCACTCTGATGCTTAACTGTGGCACCTTTTCCCAAAGCCCGCTGGGGCCTTCTAAATAGGGGACCCTGGTGGGGAAGCGGAACCCTTCTGAGTGGGAGCGGCTCACCACCCCGGAAACAAGAGGAGTCAGCCCATTTCTTCCAGCTTCCTCCGCTCCCATCGCCACACTCTTTAGAGGCCAAGGACTGACATCCTGGCAGGAGAATGTCTCTGGCTAAGGGGCCACCCAAAGTCAGGGCTGGAGAAGTAGACAGAGGAGCCCAGACCCATGAGGAAGCCAAGTTCTCAGAGAACGCGGTTCTGCTCTTGTCCTTGTTCCCCATGGACTCTGGTGAATGACCAAGTTGTCTCTGCTCTCCGGGTCCCAGTTGCCTTCTCTTGTTAAGTAAGAATGGACAGCCCCTCCCTCCCTCCCTCCCTCCCTCCCTCCCTCCCCGATTGCCACAGTTGGGTCAATGAAATGACCTGGTGGATGGAGAGTGCCAACTCTCAGTAGGGCAGACATCTGGCAATTTCAAAGGATTGATGTCTTTCAGTGGGTACTAGATCTGGCTAAGTTACCTTAGGGAGGCTGTTCTGGGCCCCACCCAACCTCTCTTAGTTAGTCCCTGGCCTTGACTGTCTTTATTCCAGCCACACTGGTCTCTTTGCTGTTTCCTGAACATTACACTCACCTTCCAGATAACCCATGGCTCGCGCATCCCCATTAACTCAATATACTAATGGTACCTTCTCCCTGAGGTATCTTTTGGCTACCATATCTAAAATGGCAGCTTTCTTCCCAGCAACCTCCTTGGTTAATTTTCCTCTACTCATCTCCCACAGTATGACACAGTTGTTGTTTTTTTTATTAGTTTGCATTGTAACTATTTCCTTCAGTGAGAAAGACAGAACCACAAGAATATTCTGTTGTCTTTTATGTTCATTTCATGCTCTGTTTCCAGGACAGAAGTAGTGCCTGGTACGCAGTAGATAGCCAGATATTTAACAAATACTAAGTGTGGTAGTGATTAAATTATAATCCTGGAGTCAAACTGATGTCTCAATTCATTATCTGTGCAACGTTAAGCAAGAGACTGAGACTGGATTCCCCATCAGTGAATGGGGATACAAAGCTACTTCTTTCAAAGAACTGTAAGAACTAAATGTGCTAAAAATGCTTCCCTGTGGCTGGCAAGAGAAGGTGATATGTCCGTTGTAATGAGCAATGGCGCAGCATGTACCTTCTTTCTTTTCTTTTCTTTTCCTCTTTCTTTCTTTCTTTCTTTCTTTCTTTCTTTCTTTCTTTCTTTCTTTCTTTCTTTCTTTCTTTCTTTCTTTCTTTCCTCTCTCTCTTCCTTCCTTCCTTCCTTCCTTTCTTCCTTCCTTTCCTTCTTTCTTTCTTTCCTTCTTTCCTCCCTCCCTTTAAAAAATGTTTGTTTTTAAAATGTATTTGTATAACTTTTTTGCCTGCATGCACGTGCATGCACTATGTGCATCCCTGTTTTATCTCCTAGAACTAGAATTGTGGATGACTGTGAGCCACATGTGGGTGCTGGGAATTGAACCTGAGTCCTCTGAAAGACAGCTCTTAACCGCTGAGCCAT